AGCTGTATATGACAAATATCTGTGATAAATCCAAAATGCAGTGGGATGCCGTAGAGCAAATTTTCCACAAACTGATTTTTGGTGCATTTTCAGACATCTATGTGGCTGCAGTAATGAAGATTAATTCCCGAATCCTCAGATACACACACTCCTAAAAATGGCTTCCATTGTGTGCGAAATCTAGCTGTTGTTCAACTTGCATTGCTTTGACACACTGTGTTTTGCAACAGCCATTTCTCAAACTGACACAGAATAAAGAAGGGTTGCGGCCTCCTCCTGTTTAATTATAGTGCCCTGAGAAAAGCAGCAGATGCCAACAAAAGACATCAAAACAGCTATTTGCATGAAGAGAGTCTAATTTCAAAATGAGTCGAAAATCTATACTTTGGTGTGCTGATATTTTTGGCGTGTTGGATGTGGTAAATCCAAGAATTTTTTACAAGATATTCGACTCATATCAGTTGGTTATGCCTCCTCCTGCTGTATGATAACATGAGAAAAACATAGTTAACTTTGCAACAAAAAGGCTGCAGGCACTGAAATTGTACACAGTTTAATAAAGAGTAAGAAACCATACTCTCTCTATTTCACACTTAGATACAATAACGTTACCTCTGCATTGCAGCTCATAATCATTTATTAAATATGTTGCTTAAGGCTGGTTAATTATTATTAAACATTATGGTATTGATTTAATTCTATATAGAAAACACTAGGTCATTTAATAACCTGAGGTAATGCTTTATGAAGCCTTTGCCAAACTTAAGGGAAAAGAACTGTTAAATAAGCATTTTAACAGCCTTCCAAAGTATCAGCACTAATTAAATTACATGATATTTATTTATTTCCTCGCTTGTTTATTTTGGCTGCAATCTTTGCTCCCCATCAAATGCATTTGAACTTTTTGTTTACCGCGTCCATACTGATGCTGTCAGCAGGCGGTCTGAGACAGTGTCTGCGATTAAATCCGATAAAAGTTTAATTTATTTTGACTACTGAATTGACAACTTTGATTCTGTAAAAAAACAACAATCTGTTCATTTTACATCTCTGCAGTTTGAGCAGGAAGGAATCTAATCACAACGCTTGTCAACATGATTATCAGTGCATCTTGGAAGACTTACTTTTTTTCTCCCTGTGCACTTTTTTCCTCCAAATAAACAGCAGCAATGTCGCAATTTAACAAATTTACTCCTACTGTTTTCTATCCTTGTCCTCCATAGGTCTAATTGCATTATTACTTAGACTTTTTTTTGAACTCTCACATGCAGTTTTCAAAAACCTGCGGTGTGTATTTGTGGTCGCAAAGTGTCATTATGTTTGCAACTGGTTTTCCTCATTAAAAAACTCGAACCAGACTATAGAGACTGTATAAGACTTGTGCTGCGCTCTGCTCTGTGCAGTCTGTCCACATAAAACAGCTTTTTAGGAGGTAAACTAATTAAAGTATTGTCACTTGGACCTCACATGTAATGGGATGTCAGAGGTGTCACATTCATTTCCTGCACTCAGTTCCCAACCAAAAGAAACCACAATCACCTTCTCAAAGAATATGAGGATAATTAATAATCTCACGACCACATCATCAACAAGTGTTTAATTTCACATCATGCATTAAAATCCTCTGAGTGGCTAATGTGCTAAAAGCTTTAAAAAAGAAACTAATTTAATCTGTTTCAAAGAATCTTAAGAACTAACCTGACCCACCCTCACTCATAAAGATCTCCTCATTTCATTAGGGAATAAAAAGGTTTACGCACTCTTCACGTAGTTCTAGGTGAAAAAAACATAAGGTTTTGTGATTGCTCATGCTACGGATTATTAACTTTATATTTCTACCCAACTGCCAAATTACTGTAGCTGATCTAGCCGATTTTTGCTTCCCCGAGCAATGCTGAAGCCTGACACTCCCTTTGTGCAGAAAAGCCTCCTGCAGGACCGTCAGTTCAAAGCAAGAAAAAATCAATGTCCTCTCACGGTGCCACATTATGTAAACCCCAGCCATCTGAAAACGATCAGAATCAATAACTGCAACATTTAGTGGTCATGCCTGGCATGTGGTGATGCCTTTCATACATACTTTGATATGGTATCTGTACAGTCCTGTGATTTCCTTTTACTTGTTTCTACTCCTGCACAGGCATATACACATAATGTTGCATTAACAAAATTAATTCACAAACTTACTATTACAAAGGAGTGTGCATTTATTATATGACAATAAAAATGTTGAAGCTTTAAGGAGCAATGTGTGGGATTTAGTGTCATCTAGTGTTGAGGATTCCAAATTGCAACCAGCTGAAACTTCTCCTATGTGCTAAGTGTGAACTCCTGGTTAGGATTCCTTCAGTGTTGATTGTTTAGGAGGTTATTACCAGGAGCCGAATTATCCTCAGAGGTCTCTTCCTCTCCAAAATGAATGAACCAAGTGATTAAAGGGAAATTTCGGTTTATTTCAACCCATCTCCTATCGTCCTAAATTTGTTTCAAGTCACTAGTGACATAGAAATAATAATTTGCATGTTAGCCGTTAGCCTAGATACAGCCGTAGCGTCAGACCTGTTAAAACTTAATTGAACGGGCATCCTTTCAAGTGCAAAGTTAGTCCACTAAACAAGCTTTTTCTCCACAACGACCACCTCATATCGTTAGGATAAATGTCAGAGAACATATAGAAAACGACATGTAAACGTGTTGTCTTACCTTACCGGTGTGGTGCCATGTTTGTTGTTTACCATTTAGCTAAGGCTGCAACCGGTCCCATTCCTTGCAACAGAGGCATTCCTCTTCTGTGGGCACTAGGGTACAGCATTCACAGGTAATGTTACACCACCAATCTCCAGAGCTAAAGCCTTCCAGCAGCCATTCCTCCTCTGTTGTCCTCTACCTGTTGTGCCTCTCTCTCTCTCCTCCTACATTCTTCAATTTCACGAAGCTCTTCGTCAGTGTATTCTGGCTTCTGGCTGGTATTCTTTTCTATATGTTCTCTGACATTTATCCTAACCATATGAGGCGTTTTTTTTTTGAGAAAAAGCTTGTTTAGTGGACTAACTTTGCACTTGAATTGATGCCCGTTCAATTACGTTTTAACAGGTCTGACGCTACGGCTGTATCTAGGCTAACGGCTAACATGCTAACTATTATTTCTGGTAATTTCTGGTAAAAATGCTGAATAAAGTAGTTTCATGTCAACATCAGTGTTTTTCCTATGCTGTTTGGTTTGTCGCAGAGGGGCTGCTTACTACAGTGGCAGACACAAAAACGCAAATGGCCTTATCTAGAGCCAGTGTTTGGTTTGTCTGCTCTTAGCTACTGGAGAAACATCGCAGCGCAATGTGGCAGACTCAGCGGAAGAGGACCATCTCCCTTTATAGATGTAAAAGGCTCATTCTAAGGTAACAAAAACACAACGATTCTTCTTTTCAAGTGATTGTATACTAATGAAAACATACCTCATATGATGCATTTAATTTCTGCCAATTTATCCCCCTAAGTTCCCCACACTGGATCTTTAAAATGCTTTACTGAAAAGGATGTTTAAAGGAACATCTTAAGGGAACTGTAAAGCAGAGAAGATCTTGAAACTTTAACGATTGTAATAAATTACTCTTGATGCGTTGGACCACAGATAAGATAGAACTGCTATCAGCAAGTGCAGCCCTACCTGGTGATTACTGTAAAACATGAGAAAACTAATTCAGCCAGGGTATATCAAGTTATATAACTCCTTTGTGTTCACATAATAAGTTTTGTTTTAGAGCCTGGGAAAGTTGACACACAATTACCTCTGTAGTGGCTTTTCATGACATTGATGAAGCTGTTAGTAAAGGGCTGGGAAAGCCACAACAAGTCAAATCTTTCACTTCCATCACAGACTCTGGACTTCTTACCGAATGGAGCATGAAAGAAGTTTTTCAGATTGTCAAAAATAAAGTGAATAGGAAAACATAAGTGAAAAATACAGGTAACATAACAGTACAATGCTTGGATGTCTTTTTTTCCCCAGAGACATTTATGAAAACATGTTATTAAGAATATGCTAAGCTGTTCTCCGAGAGGTGATAATTTGCTCTCATAAGACTTTTATATGAAAGTACAGCAGTTGAACAGCTGCCTTTATCCGTCTGCAAAGGAAGAGACCTAGAATTTGAAGTGCACAACAGCAACAGCACATTGTAGACATTCACCTGCGAGGGATCCTGTTTAATGCTTGATATGTCCTTGATGGTTGCTCCATAAATAATTGCTTCACCACTGGATTAGTGGTGCAGAGCATCCCTTCCCTGAATAATTATTTACAGTATAAAGCAAATTCCCTTGAATATCTATGACCAACCACAAATTCCTGTGAGGAATATCAATGCTATGCCCGTTCATAAGTTCATCAAACCATCTATTGTATGTATTCTCAATCCGTGTTCACAGCAGCCCAGGGTGTTTTCTGCTGTTCATCAGAGGGGCTGTTTTCCCTATTGAGATAAGAAATTAAATCTGCAGGAGCTGAGGATGCTGGGTTTGCTGCAGGGTGGCGAAGCAGTAGCTCTGATAATGGAGCCGACTCCCATTGCGCAGGCTATGAGGCAAACAGCCGTGGCGCCAGCCCAACCCTGCCTATGCGCGGGGATAGCTAACAGTGTCACTCTGTAGAAGCTCCCTCTCACTCTCTCTCTGCATGTGAACATGTGGTTAAATCTGCATGTGACAGAGAGGGGAGGAAGAGAATGAGATGCTGAATATGTGGGAGGAAGAGGGAAGAAAATTGGTAAAACTGTAGGGTTTGCCTTTGTGTTTAATGGAGTGAGAATATGCATGCATGGTGAGTCAAACCTACTGACCCTGTGGAGAGAAAAAACAGTGATCGATAGACTCCGAGCTTCTCTCCCCTCTATGCCTTCGCCTCGTCACTTTCTGCTCATGTTCAGTCTGGATGGCTTATGCGTGGTAGTAGGCCTATATTATGTAAATGTGAAGAGGGTTTTAATTTCAATTTGGGAACTCACCAGAATATTGTGTCGCTTTGGATGCTCCTCACAGGGTTCACTTCAAAGCAGTCTGCAGAGAGAAATAAACGGTCACACCTTAATGTGCAAGCACAAATAACATTGGGGGCCATACGGCACCAGTTGTAATAGTGTCAGAATCATAAAAAGGTTCAATTTATAGTTCAATCTTTGATTTCATCCCAGACTCAATACAAATGATTTGATATTTCTGAAGCAGTGGAACAATCATTTTGTGCCCAGAGCCTCTCTGCCAGAGGGAATTTAAAAGAGGAGAAATTGAAGCAGAAATATCATTTTACCTGCCTCCTTCTTTAAAGATGATTTCCTGCTTTACACGCATAACTAATATTTGTCTTTAGCCTGCATAATAATTAACCTTGGATTATACACTGGAGCTTTTCCATTACCTTTTGGTTAGTTCTTGCTTTCATATGTATTTTTTTTGTGTGCAGCTATTAAATGCAATGAATGAATTCAATGAATACTGACTGCTGAGTCAGGAACATGTACCATCTGTAAGGTTTGTACTCTTTCCTTGTGCTGTCTAGTAAGTAATGGACCCTTGTGTAACGCTGTGTCATTATAAAGTGGATTATTAGACTGACACTAATAAAAAATCGTATGCATTTACCATACCAAGGTAAATAAAGCCAATAGACAGACAAGCCACCACAGCTCATTATGTTTAATTAGCCCCAACTTTTTAGTTCATTAGAGACAGCTGCACTGATCCTGCAGCTCTAAGTCTAAGTAAGAACCAACGTCTGCGGATAAATATTAACATTTACCGCTTTGAAGCTAAAAGGTCAAGGTGTTTAACAGGTTTTTACAAGTGGATGACTCGAAGTGGGGCGAGACCTACAGGCTTATTTGTCACAGGTCAACATCAGGGCAGGAAAATATACATTGCTGTATTTACATTCAATTTATATAGAAGTTTAGTCAAATCAAATACAGATATGCTGTCCATGTTCTTGTCATTTCTTGAAATGTCTATCCCTTGAAATATATCTAAAAAGGTTAATCATTTTTTGAGCATTTCTATTCTGTATTAAAATTCCTCTTTTGATTTTCTTTGATTAAAATATGTTATGATTAGTCATCCTGCATTGTAGTTTAGCTCGCTGTGATAATAGGTGCAGATTAACCACTCAAAATTGTTAGTAACTTTTAGAACAATGGGTCCTTGATTCTAGAAAACAGCTCTTTTTTCTAGCAATGACAATTAATTTTGCCCAATTAAATGCTAACTGTCAGGAGATTTTATTACTAGCTAGATAATTAAGCTCTATGAGTTGGCTGAAAACGCCACATTCTCTGGCTGACTTTATGATGTTTTCAGCTGACTCGTTTCAAAATAAGAAGGGGATCTGGAATATCTACTTAAAGGCTTCATTTATGATCTAATAAAAGATTAAAGCTTGATTGATTAATTTCTTGATTGACTGATTTTATTTGATAAATGTAAATTACAGTGTACAAATGCACATTAACAGGGGCGGAAATCCCGGGGGGGACAGGGGGGACATGACTCCCCCTTCAGTAAAGCTGTACCCCCTAGAATCATTTGAGACACAATTAATAGTTTTTGAACAATGCAGTAGTATTTATTAAAAGCACAATGTAAGCGGTGCTCATTATAATCGCGCAATAATGTGCTATTTAAATCTTAAAAGATTTAGTCCCCCCCCCTCCCATTCCTAGTAGTGGTATATCCCACACTCTTTCCAACGGGCGGGGCTGCTTGGCAGCAGCAGCAGCATGTGGCTGGAACCGCTGCCCACATCGCGCATCGCAGGGTAAGATGTTCACTCACACAGACACAGTTTAACTTACACAAGTTACAATACATCCCATTTATGTTACAACAAGCCACAGGCCCAGGCTGATAATATACATTGTCTGCAACATTTCTCCTGCATTGTTCAAAAGCCTACTCAATTATGAGTGCTGCTAAGCTAAAAGCTAATGATTAAGCTCAGAGTTTAGTGATAGAGAGGACAGGACAAGAGCAGTCAGTGGTGGAGCGGCTCGTAGCTAATGGGTACCTGTCTGTAGGCTCTCCACCTGACAGTGAGACAAACATGAGAGATGTGCAGTGTAACCGCGGTCATTACGCGCGGCTATTACGCACGGTTGTGGTGGCTTGTAGCTATGGGTACCTGTCTGTAGGCTCTCCACCTGACAGTGAGACAAACATGAGAGACGTGCAGTCTAACCGCGGTCATTACGCGCGGCTATTACGCACGGTTGTGGCGGCTCGTAGCTATGGGTACCTGTCTGTAGGCTCTCCACCTGACAGTGAGACAAACATGAGAGACGTGCAGTCTAACTGACGAGGAGCGGTCATTATGCGCGACTACTACGCATGGTTGTGAGGTGCGCAGCGGCAGATCTGACAGCACACTGTTTATAAACCAGTTTACCAGTTTAATTGCAGGAAATGTTTAGTTGTTAAGCCATTTCTCATAAGTATAGACATTCACTCTGCCTGTTGGAGAGATAGAGAGAAGATTAAATTTTCAAATTGTGGTAAAAGATGCTGTATAAAAGACAGGCTACAACTTTTTTTCCTTGTCCCCCCCCGGAATTATTCTCTAAAATTTTACTGTTTATTGTCCCCCCCAACTATGAAATGGGATTTTTGCCCCTGCACATTAAGGACTAAAATTCATCAAGATATTGCAATAAGTCACATGATTTGTTTCCACTGGATTCCTGAAGTCTAGGCAAGGAGGCAGGCAGGGAAACGACATGACATGTATATGCTAATTATATCCCATTTTTCACTAATACACCTAATAAGAAATATAGAAAATATCAATATTATACAGCAATGAAAAACAATTAAAAAAAAATGAGAAACCAATCCTCACTATAGTTACTGACTTAGCATTCAGTTATTTAAAACTATTCAGAGAATCAGCAGGTCTAATGTTGTATGGAATGTTAGTCCACTCCTTCCCCCGTGTAAAGAAACGTGCTCTTCGTATTTTGCTTTTTATATTTGCCATAACCTGAGCCCTTGTATTCAGGCCATGAGAGTCCCAGATATACTGAAACATACCCAATAAAATAATTTGAACATTGACCTTGTAAAATCTTGTAGACCATAATATGTTTAACCTGTTTTCTTCAGGGAGCCAATTCAACTCTTTCAAATTGTTTCAAGGACGAATATGCGTTCTTGGACTGAGATGAAGGACGAGCCTTGTTAGTTTGTTCTGAGCTTTTCAAAGCTCATCTTTACTTCTTTTAGTTATACCACTGTATCAGGTTATGCCGGTATAGTCATAGTGGCATTGAACTAATAATGTAGCTGATAAACTTGTGGTTTTGTTATCAAGGAACATGGATATTTTTGCAGTATACTTTGCTTTTGGATAGACCTTTCCAATGACAGAGAGGGTCATAGCCTCACTAGCCATACAGAGTTCCAGTATATATCCAAGATTAGTATCACAACACTTTCCCAGTATCTTTGGTCCAGTATATATCCAAGATTAGTATCACAACACTTTCCCAGTATCTTTGGTCCGTTACATAGGTCTATTAATTCATACCTTGGTCAAAATAAAAAAGGCAAGGATAACTTGTTTTCATATAACCAACTGCTTACTCTTTGGAGCTTTTCACTAAACAATATTCTGTTTTTAAGCCCTACTCAGTTACTAAAAAAAAAACAACAACCCTGAATTATCCACAAATAAAAATAAAGTATATGAACAAGCTGCTGCCATGCCATCTATGTAAGATAAAAAAACAATAAAGGACCAATAATGCTTCCCTGAGGGACACCACGGGTGGTTTCTGGGCTCTGAGAGCATATCTTCTGCATCTAGCATTTGGGCTCAACCAGAAAACAATGACAGTATTTGTTTTAAGGCCTCCCTATTAAAACTTACCACATTTCATTTTTTACATCAACATGTAATTATTCACTGTGTTAAATGCTTTTTGTGGATTGAGCATTGTCATTCCACAGTATTTGCCACTGTCATTTTCCTTTTTAATGAAGTCAGTTAAATAAATCATGCAAGTCTCAGTTGAGTAGGGCTGTTTAAAACCTAAATGAAAATCATATAAAATGTTAAACAGGTTTACATATTAAAAAAACTGTTCATAAAAAACCTTTTTCCAGGATTTGACTTGTAGAACCAGGCCTATAATTACTCTGTTTAACCTTGCTGCCAGTTTTACATAAAACAGTAACTCTGGCCTTTTTAAATTCCTGGGGGACTTTTGATTGGGAAATTGAAAGATTTATTATGTGAGTGACATAGGGAGCAATAACCTCTGCAGCATCTCTCAGGAACTTAGCTGGGATGGCATCCAAGCCGGTGGCTTTGTTAGTATCCAAGTCCCTGAGCATTTTAGTGATTGTTGTGATTGTTATCTGGGTAAAGGAGAACTGCTCTTCCCTGCTCCCTTTAGACCCGTAATACTTTTTCACTTCAGGTTCGCCATAAATTCACGTCTAAAACAACAAGTCTATATCCTCACCAGCTGATGTGGACACAATAATAAATATCCATATTCCAATTGTCACAGTGGGGAAAAACAGTTGATGTGCTACACATAAACAAGGCTTTTTTATGTTAACATGTAACACTACAATCTTATGTAAGCTAAGTAAGGTAATGATGTGATCATTGACCTTAAAGGTCCAGTGTGTAGGATTTATGGAGATATACTGGCAGAAAAGGTATACAATATAACAAGTATGTATTCTTCGCTGTATAATTACCTGAAAATAAAAATCATTGTGTTTTCATTACCTTAGAATCAGCTGTTTATATCTACATAGGGAGCAGGTCCTTGTCTCAAGGCTGGCTATGTTGCACCACCATGTTTATACAGTTGCCCAAGACAGACTAGTCAAAACACTTGCTCTAGATAGAGCTATTTGCATTTTCACTTTGGCCACCCTAGTTAGCAGCACTGCGATGAAAGCACTGGGAAAACGCTGATTTTTTTTTTTATTGTAAAACTGTTCTATTCAATATTTTTACAGGTTTAAATCACAGACTCCATTTGTTTTAGAGAGAG